AAAAAAACATCAACATTTATAAATGAAATTTCTACAGGTATAACATTATTGAAATATAGTATACTGAATTATAAAATAAACATCTATTTCTAAAATTAAAAAAACATTAATTAAATAAAAACAAAAAACATAATTTCTTAGACGAACTTTTATTAATTGGCCCATAAAGGTTAAACCTACAACATGAAACTAAATATAATTAATACATGTGTATTTTTGACGGTCGGTTCGCTCCAGACCGCACAAAAAACGTTCAAACCGTAGATCAGTCCAGACCAAGCAGTTTGGCTATTTTTAGACTAGACCGAACCGTCAAACCACTCAAACCGCCAAAAAACGGTCCGGTTTGACTTGTTTCGACCGGTTTGAGCGGTCTAACGGTTTTTTTGAATACCCGTAGTTTAGGGTATGTTTGGTAATAGGTTAACGAGTTTAAGAGAACTTACAACTTATTCGATCAGTTTTAACTTATACATGCAGTGGCTGACCCAGAAAATTCTTTGCGCAGGTATACATTTAAGATGAATCAACGGTTAGCAAAATCACAATTTAACCTATGGAAGATTCAATTTTATCGATTTGAGGAACAAGATACATTTTTTGGAATGGAATCGACTTTGATCCTAAAAATAAATATATGTTGCTTTGAAAATGAGATTAAAAGCAACAAATCATAAAATAAATTAAAAACAAATAATGAAAATTTTCACCTAAAATATTTGAACCCATTAACTCTTGTATATCAAGTGGTAATTAAACCATCTCACCCATGTATATTTTCTATTATAGAGTTGGTTTCAAAGCATTTAATGGCATCATTTAAATCTAGCGAGTGCATCTATTAGACAGCTAAATTTTTTTCCTTGTGCAATAATTGAGTGAGCAGGTGCACGGGAGCCCGCTCAACTCCTAAAATGTTCGCCCATGTATACATGATTGTTTGATAGTGGCTTAAAAATACAAAAAACAACTTATTTAGTAAACTTCTAGTGAGAGCTTTATACAGAAAGTCAAGTGTTTTCAAAGCCGTCCTCCCAACTAAAAAACATGCACCTTTTATATATAAAATAAAAAAACTCAAACAAAATCTTTTTCAATCTATACAGATAAATTAGTCTTTAAAATAGCCAAGTTTTTTTAATGATTTAGCCACATTATCATGAGTCCTAAAATACATTAATCTTTAAATTACAAAATTACCAAAATATATAGTCACAAAATATCACAAAACGGTTTTTGACTCGAAGTAAAGAAATCAAGTAAGCTTGTTACACAACATATTAAAGTGCTTATACATAGCTTTATAATTTTGTATGTTTCTTCTTTTGCCAAAAATTGCATGGGATGATTTGGTGATACAGAAAATCCCAAAAATGATAGAAAAACTGCAGGTGATATATAGACCGTATGATTGCATGACTCACAATTGATGATATCAAATAAGGGTGTCGTCCTTTTACAATATTAAAATCTAAAAATAATCATAAACAATAAAGTAAAGAACAATGAGTAGATGATAGCAAAGGAATTCCATCTAGATTGCAATGTGTGTTGAAATGATCTAAGCCTTGGAGTATCTATGCTCTTGTCAATCTGACCGTTATCTTCGGCCATAATATCTTCAACGCTTTTCCAACTATATAATGAATATCTTTGTAATTGTCGGTCATCGATTACGATTTAAGTATTGATCAAGATATCCCTTGATAAAATCCTTGTTTAATGCATCTGTTAATGGATTGGTTACTTGTAACATTTACATAAACCACCGACCTTCATCGGTTGTTAATTGTGTTTGTTGTCATAAGATCTTTCACTCACAAGATTACTTACAATCGTCTTAAGTTTGACAAGGTTAGTAAGATCAAATAATCTAGTTTCAGATGGTAGTAACATCTGCCTCATCAGCCCTTTGTGGCTGTCTTATCATATCACCTCGTACACTGAGAGATCTTAGCCATAATAGCGAGCAAACTTTTCATTTGAGTTGGTCTTTTCTTAAAAACATGTATTTTTAACTATAAATATCGGATAAATAAATACAGGAATGGCTAGTAGAAAGTAAATACGAGGTGAGGATGGATCTGGTTAACAAACTAACTTTGCAATCAATTAACTAATTGAAAATTAAAAAAGAGAGAATGTGTCACATAAGCCATTTGGTTGAAATCATCGTCGGCGAAATATTTTAAACATGCAAATTATTTGGTTAAGCTGGTTCTAGCCGTTAACAAGCTCTAACAACCAATTCCAAGATAATTAGTCTTTGAAAGAAACAAGTTCTTCTAACAAAAACTTCGCATTTAAATGGTTTCAAATGAGCTCCTGAAAACCTCACTAAAACTAACATGAAGTTCTAAACGAACCCTATTCCGAATGATCTTAGGCAGCATGGCAAGGTCCCCTACGTCCAACCACACAAGATTAGAGATCCAGGAGACAAGGTGCGGCTATGAGCATCTCCAATCCACCACTATAAACACTAAAATAAGGTGTTTTCAACTCCAACCAATCACTAAAACAATAACAAATTGAAGTTCTCCAAATTTGGTATCTATATTTGGAAGTCAAAAACGTTGGCTTCTATCTATGAAATATTAATGTAATATTGAGGTTTTATATATATATATATATATATATATATATGTATATATATATATATA